TATGTGTTAACAAAACAATTTTTTTGAATTACAAACAAGCCATTGGTTAAACAGGTCTTAAATGTTTTACTTGGTGACAGCAAGCGCAGGCTGTTTTCTTTTCCACCTCGCTTGAAAAGTGAAGCCAGGAACACGAGTTTCTGGGGGCATATATTATTATATCTGGTCTGCTGGGAGAAACGGTGTTTCTGGCCGCCAAAGCCAGTAGCGTCTGTGCCAAAAGTAGATTTCTTCAAAAAACTCGTTTTATTAGTCCTTACAGAAAATTGTAAAACATTTTTTAAAACATGTAATGACTAACTTCTGTAGATTGGCTTAGCTTGCTTTATTTTCATATACATTTTACAGTATTATCTTATTTTCTGTTTGAGAAACCAACTAATTAATGCGAGATGTATTCAAACCGGATTAATACAGTACAAAGTTTGCAAGCAAGAAAGGCGGAAGGAAAAAGGGGGGGTTTGCAGTTCAGCGAAAAACGGAGAACTCCCACCAGCACGGAAAGATGACGCCCATTTATTTGCGATGGATTATTGCGAAAACTGTAAAATGCAATTACATTGGAACATTCGTATTTTCAACCTTGCCAAACTTGACGGCACCGCAAAAACGGAAAAACACGCCCTGCAACGTAACGTATTTATCACGTATATTTTTTAATCAAATGAAAACTTGATGTACTGACCAATTGGATAGCAGGATCTGATCAATTTTCCTAGGAAGGAGGAGTTCAATGATACCAAAGCGAAAAGTTTTGCCGGAAAACATGAACTTGAGAAAAATCGATGTAAGATTAATTGGCTTTAGTTTCCAAGAGGCTTTTGTAGCTCGGCAGGTCTACGGGGGTGCTGAAATACTGTAAGGGCTTAACAAAATTATTAAAACCACGATTTTTTTGGTTGTGAGCTAAGCATTCAGTTTCTAAACATCCCTGGATTATATTTAATATTATCTTATATATTTACTTGCCTATCTCAGATTATTAAATGGTGGAATGTTGAACGCTTTTTTTTGCAGAGCAATCAAGGGAAAAAAGGCCTGGGCAAAAATTTCATCATTACCAATTTTTTTTTTTTATGGAAAATATAAAACTGTGTGATTTTAAAGGCGCCCCACCTTGTTGCGATGGCTGGACAATTTGCGACGATTGCCTATATATATATATATATGGATTCAAGTTTTGGGTGACATCTATCTTACAATGGAAGAAAATATCTATTTGACGTGAAAAAAATTCTACAGTTTAAGTGTTTATTATTATTTGTTTTTGGTGGGGAAAATTCAAAATTCTTTCAAATTCATTTTGCATTTCCAAAATCACTTCAGCGGTCGCGCTTCTGTCCTAATAATTAATAAAGTTGTCTTCTTTGTTTACTTTCATTAGTTCTTATTTTAATATTTTTATGTTTTTTACTCCTCCTGGTGGCGTGTTTTCATCTTCCAGCAATCGGAGGCATTGAGCTTCCGGAACCCCGCGCCCCTCCCGGTTCCCATTGGGCTGAACAGGCAGGTTCAGGGTCTTCCGCGGAAGGGCAGTGCCCTCGCTGTTTGGACAAGCCGACAGAAGACGAAGAAATCTGTGGCTTCCACGATGTGCAAGGCCTCCGCAGAAGACCTTCTGTTTCCTGCCAGGACGACGTCTCGCCTCAAAAGCAGGAGAGAACAGTGCTTCCAAATAGAAGGTTCAAACGCTCATTTTTATATTATATTATTTTGTATTTCAGATAGAAACGGTTATATTCTTAATTATAAACTGATCTTTTTCTTTAACATAATCAGATATGAACGAGATTAGTTTTCTTATTACAGTCTTTACCCATATATATTCATCCCCAAACTGAATATTTATATATTTCTATCTCTTTTACACTTAACCTTGTTCGAGCAATGTTTAAAATATGTTTTGTTATGTATTTAAATTTATATAGTTATTTTTTTTGCCCACCTGTCCAGGAAGCTGGGTGGATTCCTCCCAACAAAAAAAAGCTTTTTGGAGCGTCTCAGCTTGGAGAGCGACCTGTGCAGAGTTTCTGGGGAGAAACGGGAGCAGAGGCGCCTGGAGCTACTGCGACACCGCGAGCGGCAGGCAGCCGAACTGCGAGGCCGGCTGGAGGACGCGAAAGCGGAGGCGGAGGCCGGAAGGAAGAGTCTGGCTCAGAAAGATGCACAGCTGGCCGAGTTGCAGGAGAACATCAGGATGCTGATGGAGAAGAACAACGCCAAGCAGGAGGTGAGGTCACACCTGAGGACAACAGGTGGACCACAAACACCTGCTTCATTGTCTGTGGAGAACCTCTAATAAACACGTTCATCATCTCTATTTTATTGGTCATTGAAGGTTTGTTATAGATTGATGTTTTTTATGTTAGTTACAGTAATGCTGACATCATTCAGACTACAACAGTTAAGAGAAAACAAAGATTATATTTAAATAAACCTTACAGAGTTAAAGAATCAGAGAACGTGCACATTTAATGTTTTTTGTGTTGAATTTTAAAGGTTAATATGTAACTGTCATTAAACTTTAGCTAACAGCACCACCAGTGGCCGTTCAGTGAACTGCACTCAGCATCCTGTTGCATCATCCTGGGCGTTGGCCAACAGTGACAAACACTAAATATACTAAAATAACTGACAATCATTTTTAGAATAACTATACTATCTGCAATGTTCCTATATTTTATTTGGACCATTAGTTCCATGCTACTAACTAGCTCGCCGTTTACAAATCAGCCATCAGCCACGAAGCAACTAAAAACCTAAAAGCACAATCTATTGTTTCCTGTCAGGTGATCATAAAGCTATCTGATCAGGTGACCGCCTGTATGTCCGACCCATGTCGATCCGTCTCGGTGTCTGGCGGCGGTTTGGACTCTCACACCTTCAGACAGCTTCAGCAGGAGATCGAGAACCTGAAGGTGAGATACTGACTGATGTATTGTTGATTATTGATGATCAAATATTGACCTCTGATTGTGTCTGGTCTTCAGGACGACATCGAGGCATATAAGACCCAGAACAAGTTCCTGAACTCTGAACTCTACCAGCTGACCAAACTGTGGAGGAACAGCTCTGAGCAGGAGAAGAGTTTGATGGTGAAGGTGAGTCCAACACTGATGTCCAGTTTCATCACATTTAAACTTCTCCTTCTCAGCCTCACCCTGTGTTTCCTGTCCTCTGATTGGCTGCAGTGTGCCTACCTGGAGGCCAGTAACTGTCGGGCGGAGAGCCGTTACCTGGGCGTCCTGCGGCAGCTGCAGGAGATCAAATCTCTGGATCCAGTCCAGCGGGAGGTCGTCCAGAAGATGATCGGAGACGCTCTGAAAGGAGAGCTGAAGAGCGTCCTCAAGCTCAACGTGGCCAGGTGAGCAGAATAAGGCAGGGTGGACAGAATAACAGGAACACCTAGGTCACTGATGGTCTGCGTTGTGTCCTTAGGGATCACGATGAGTACGGCTTTAAAATCATCCCGGACTACGAGGTGGAGGACATGAAGCTCCTGGCAAAGATTCAGGCGCTGGAGATCCGATCCCACAACCTGCTGCACCAGGTCTGAACCCTCACATGTAGGCTCCATCATGTCCATCAGTGGACATTAGAGGAACCGCAGTTTCAATCACTAGCCAACCAATCAGCAACCTCCATGGCTGCAAATGAATCAAACACTGAAGTACCAAAACCTGCAGTTCCTCTACCGGCCACTAGAGGCTTGCTACAGCAGTGAGTCAAACTTCATAAGGCCCCATCAATATTTAAATGCCCAACTTTACAGCAGAAATAAACAGCGCCTCCACTCATCCAGTGGTCAACTGCAGTACTGCAACTGAAAAAGTCCCAAAAAGAATCTTCCCTGTCGACCTCCATTTATAAAAGAGCCTCCTGTTTATCATGAAGCTCATATCATATTAAAGGAAGTTGATTCAACAGGACAGAAAGCATCCTGTGTGTTTTTAAATCAAATCTGTTTCTGTGGGTTTTTCCCTGCAGGAGGGTGTAGAGCGCCCCCTGTTGAGTCGCTGGGCTCAGTACCTCGCCGGCAGGTCGCATGATGACCTCTGCCCCTCACTGGAGCTCAAAGGTCTGCTGCGTAGTGGCATCCCTCGGGAGTACCGACAGCGGGTGTGGAGCTGGGTGGTCCAAACCAGAACCAGGACAATCAGAGAGCATCACCCACAGCGCTACCAGCAGGTAAGGGGAGGAACACCTGTCCACACCTGTCCTCAGTGTCAGACCTGGATGTAACATGTGTCAGTTACCTCTCAGTAATCCATCTATTGTGTTTCCAGCTGTGTGAGAAGAGTCGGACATCTCCTCATCCAGCCTCCAGACAGATCCAGCTGGACCTCCACCGTACCCTGACAACCAATCAGAACTTCTCCTCACCCTCTAGCCCCGCCCTCCAGCAGCTCCGCCGCATCCTATTGGCCTTCTCCTGGCAGAACCCTGCCATTGGCTACTGCCAGGGACTCAACAGGTGCTCACACATACCTGTTTGTTCTTCCACACGAGGACCTAACCCCCACCCCAAATCCTAAACCCTAAACCCAGAGACTAGACTAAATGTCCTCGCTTTGTTTCACATCCATTAAACTGTTTGATAACTTGTGTCCATCAGGATGGCGGCCATCGCTCTACTGGTCCTTCAGAGTGAAGAAGATGCCTTCTGGTGTCTGGTGGCTGTGGTGGAAACCATCATGCCTCAGGACTACTACACCAAGAACCTGATAGCCTCTCAGGTCAGGAAACACACTCACCTGTTCACCTGTACTCTGATCACCTAGAGATCTTACAGTCCTTCCAACAGACACCAACAGTTTCTAACTTAGTTACTCTGGCGTCCCTCTGTGTGCAGCTGAGTAGAGCAACTGAAAGTGCTGTTTTTACCATCTCACTGTAGATTAAGGATTTATTTGGACCAAACCCGAGTTGGTGATTGTTGGAAAGACTAACAAAGAACTTTAAGTGTTTTACGATGATCTGCAAGGTAAACTTGGCGCTTTTGTCAATAGTCTAGTGTTTCTGACTGAGATGCTGGTGCTCTAGTGCGACATCTAGTGGCTCAAATCTACATAAAGCACCACTTTCACCCTGAAACCAGCTTTATTTGTTTGATCCAGTTGCTGATGTTCATTTAATACAGTCAGAGGACAGTTTGATGTAAATAATAGTTATTTGAGTCTGACCTGTGTGAACATTGTAATCTGGTTAGTAGAGTTATATAGAGTTCGTTATAGAAACTGTTGGACAATGAAACGTTAATATTTTATGGTATTTGATCAAATATTTGATTTTCCATCTACTGAAATAAATGATCAGTGGACTGATCAAAACCATTGAGTGTTATTGATCAGTGTCATTGATGGATCAGTGTTATTGATCGTCTGTTCAGGCGGACCAGCGGGTGCTGAAGGATTTCCTGGCAGAGAAGCTTCCCCGGCTGGCGGCTCACTTCGAGGATCACAGCATCGACGTGTCTCTGATCACATTCAACTGGTTCCTGGTGGTTTTTGTGGAGAGTCTGCCCAGTGACATCCTGCTGCCGCTGTGGGACGCCTTCCTGTACGAGGGCACCAAGGTACCAGTGAGGGTCATCAAAGAGCTCTCTAAAGCTCATTTCATACAGCAAATACTCCCAGTACAATGAACCAGCATCATTTATAGCATCATTAGCGTTAATAATCAGCTAACCTACCCTATGGACAACATTCCAACAGCTGATTGGCTGATTGGGACAATATAGGAGGTTCTAGGGGTTGTTGAGGACGCTGGATCCATTTCTGATATTTTCAAAATACAAAATGGATGTTTAAACCAGAAGTGGAAATATTTCAGCTCCCAGTGGCTGATTGTGAAGATGATTCTGAGGTTATTGATCAGATTACAGTTTTTTTCAATTGTTTGCACGCAATTTTGAAAACCGGGTTCTTT